CTAAGGTTGATTCTGCTGTGCTTGTTCAGCTGCCAACTTTTGAAGAGTAACATGGAAATTTAGCTATTGCAGGACCAACTCAAGGGCTTAATGTCCAAAGAAGCCAAGCACAAAGCTCCTAGGATAGACTCCAAGAAGCCCAATGTGAAATGTCCTTGAAACCCATTATTCATGACACTGGATTTTAGTTCTTTAATCAACTTATCCTCCAAAGGACCATGCTCATATTTTGCTGTGGACTGAGTTTTGATTAATGTCAACTGGAAGTGAACACATCCTTCAAGCTAAGCCAGTCTAACCAGTCTCTGATAAGGAGACACTAACTCTGTATCAGCCACAGATGGAAGGGAAGCAGGAAGAGGAAGAAGAGGAACAGGGCTCTTCACTGTTATTTTCTCTCATGGTTGCACTAGGCATGAGGTGTTTTCCTGTAGTTAATGGACAAGGAACAGCACAGACCAGGCTCCATGTGGAGAAATTTCCAAGGAATACAACATAGCCCTCGCTACAAACAAGCTCCAAACCCTCTCCCCTGTGACCCCAACTTTCTACATTAAATGTGCCAGGCTGAGGAAACCAAGGATTATGTTTGATAACATCTTTTAACACATGAGAAAGCAACTGGGCACTGGCTTGAGTGCCAGACTGGTGCAACAGAATTTCCAATAAAGGGGTGTAACATTAGCCTTCAATGAATTATGCCCCACTGCCTTGGCTGAGGAAGTTCTCCACATGACTTTTGCTTTCTTTGCTGGCTGGGGCAGCACCTCTCAGCTGTGGGACTCTCTACTTCTAACTACTGCTTTCTCACTACACCTTCTGGTTGCGTGCATGTTTCCTGGCCAGGTCCCTGTTTGGGCGCCACTTGTAGGAATAAGCATACGAGTTTATCCCCAATCAGGGAGGCAAATGAGGACAAAGGACAAAAATCCACAGAATTAATGTAGAATTCGGGGACAAAAGAGCCGTGAGCATCTGGCCCACCTCTCTTTTATTGACATAGACAGGGGAGTGGGTAATTAAAGCAGTGGAAGATTCCTCTGCCTCCTGTTATCTACACAACATGACCAGCTAAACAGTTGGATCTTAGTCATGTTGACTCTTTCCCGGACTTGCAATGTGCCAGCAGGCCTGCAGGTTACCACATGAGCACAGCTTGCTGTTTTTTTTTTCTTTGCACTTAGAGATGGTCAATTAGGGCTGAATTCTCTTTATCTGCTCTTTTAAGTACCTTACTTATAAATAACTATCTTCAATCATTTATAATAAGTGAATATACATTATCATGAGTATAATTTTTGATTTCTGTAAGACTTAATAAGTAATAGAAAATTTCATTCTTGTATTAGTTCAAAATAAACAACATAATTTTTGTAGGTTAAAAGCTCTTGAATTCAGCTTCATATAATTCAGCTGAATATTTCAGGAAAGAGGGACGTACGGTTGTAATTTAGTTTTACAAGGGGAAGGATAAAATAAAGGACACATTTTATAAGATTATTTATAATAGTCACCCAGAGACTCATATACAAAAAAAAAGTGCAGGAAATACATTCACACACTAAAGCCTAGGAATCTAGCTGAGGGCCTGGATCCCATGATGATGTCATGCATGAATCCAGCGGAAGACCTAGAGCTCATAACCATGCCTCCCACAAATCCAACTGAACCCCCAGAGCCCAAGACAATGTCTTGTGCAGGTGTGTTTCATGGATCTGCACTGGGCAGGCCCAAAGTTCAGTGGTGGAAGCTAGAAAGTCTGTGACAGTGGGATGAAGGACCTGTGCTAGCAGCCTGAGGGGGTCTGCACTGGATCCAGGAAGCAAAACTCAAAGCAAGAGTCAGAGCTCCTTGGAAAAGAACCACAGCCATCAGTGAGGTCCCAGTCTCCTCCAGTGATGAGGAAGCTGAGTTCCCATCAGGAAAGAGAATGCAACAAGCTTCTCCAGGAGACTAAGCAGTGTACTCTCTTCCCCACTGGAGCCAGGAAGCAGTGTTCAAAGTGAGGATCAGTACTCTCACAAAGTGAACCATAGTCATTCTCGGAGATGAGGTCCTGAGCTCCTCGTCTGATGAGAACAGCCAAATTTATCAGGAAAGCCAGCACAGTAAGTCACTCATGCAGGACATGAGTGACTATTATAAATAATCTTGGGCTTTTTCTTCAGCAGAAAAGCACAAGAGCACCAGCAGCTCCCCAACAGCTTCTATCTGCTCCCAACAGCCCCCCACTTCCTCTCCAGTTCTGCCTCTTTAGCTACTGGCCACAATCCTCAGGTGGGTCTCCCATACTCAGCACCATGCTATTCACCCAGTTGTAACAAGCTGACTACCAGTTGTCAATCTGCCACAGGTAGGAAGAGTCAAGAGGGAAGGAGAAAAATACAACATAAATAAGATTAAAGAACAGGGTGAGCCTAGGGAAGGATGAGTTTGAGTCTGCATCTGACCATATCCAGTTTTTAAAATTAAAGACTTACTACATATGCTAGCTTAAGTTTGTTTACAAGCTTGGCAGCTATTTAGAGCACAGTGGAGTTTGGGTTTAGTCAGACTATTTGTCCAGAAACAGTAGACAAAAATTCCTGTATACGTCTTTGAAAACGAGTAACATTCTTGTCCTATGTAAGTTCTTGGTTAACTCTTCTTAGGATTCTCCATAGATACAAAGAAGTTCCAAACATTGGCTCTGTATTTACTAGCATTATCCAGTTGAGGGAAGTTAGAATGTTCATATTTCCTCATTAAGTAAAATGGGGAAATATTGTCAAGAATACATAAGCTATCTCTTAATGAACAGAGGGGTTTGTTCTAATGGTGTTTGTAAATAGGATATCAAGTCCGCATCTTGTACAGCAATTAACCACTGGGAAGAATGTATGCAATATGTTAATTATTGAAACTGTCGTACCAATTTGGTTTGAAAAAATAAAATAAAATGTCACAAAACAATACACAAGCTAAAACCTGCCATGTTTATCTTTGTCTATTTATTAAGGGTGGTACTGGGGATTGAAACCAAGGCCTTCACAATTAGTGCATCCCCATAAACACTTTCCATTTTTAAAATTTTGAGTCACACTCTTGGTATCATACTAAGTTGTCCTGCCTGGGCTCAAATATGCAACCTTCTTGCCTCAGGCTTTAAATGTGCTGGAGTTAAAGGTGTGTGGCACTATACCATACCTGACTACATGTAGTGTTTAGAACAGTGCCTTGTAAATAGAAAGTTCTAAGTAATATTCTAAAAGATCTTTTTACTGTTCATTTTATAGAAAGCCATTTAAAAACCATCTAAAAGTACTAATTCCTTGTGAATCAAATATGCATATCTTAGTTGCTATTCCTTCAAAATCATTTTATAAATTATATGTTGATTTTGCTGAGTGGTAGAGGCCTGCAATCCCAGAACTTGGGATGCTGAGGCCGGAGAATAACATAAGTTTGATGCCAGGCTGAACTATGTAGCTATACCCTGTCTCAAAAAATTATTGCTTTGGTTTTTAAAATACAGTACTCAAATGTCTATACTACCTGCTTGTTGCTACCCAGATCCCAGGCAGAAACAAGTTCATTTAAAGCAAATCCTTTCACTGTTCTTTGTCTCACTGTCACTGTTAGGAACATAGCTCTCAGAACCTGAATGTAATGCATTCTGTCAGAAACTGAATGACTCAGGCAGCGGCTATGTGATTCATTACATCCTTCAATTCAGCCACAGAATTTTCACCCTACCAATCAGTCACACAAAAACTAACAGAAGCATTGTTTTTCAGTTGATGTTTCATGCTAAAACTCAGATCTCAGAGTGATCCTGGAATTAGATGGGATTCCCATTTTGCTTCCAGGAACTGAGGGTCTCATTGATGCTGCCTAGGACCAGAGAACCTTAGTTTGCTAGGGGTGCTATGACAAAATACTGCAGACTGGTTATTTTGTAAAAAAAAAAAAAAAAACAAAACAAACAAACAAACACCCGAAAACAAAAACCCCAGAATACTTTCTCACAGTTTTGTAGGCTAAAATCCAAGATTAGGTGTTACCGGGTTTGGTTTATCCTCAGGCCTCTGCAAGTTAGATTTACCACCTTCTCTCTGCACCTTTATGTGAACCTTCTTCTGTGTGGGGATCCTTGGAATCTCTGTTCAAATTTCTTTTCCTCTAAGAATAGCAGGCAGGTTGGAGTAGATGATACTGTAATGGCTTTAATTACTTATATACTATTTTTGTGGTAATGTGGATTGAATTGAGGGCTTTGAGCATGTTAGGTAAAAACTGTACACTGGAATACACCCTCCAGGCCCTTTATTACTTCATCTTAACCACCCTTAGAGTAAGGGGGTTAGAGCTTCAACATCTGAATTTTGGTAGTGTACAATTAAGCCCATGAAATATAGTTATTCGATGGTTCAAAGGAGAGAGGAACTCACATCTGCATAACATGCAAGTCATTCTTTCTGAAGGGTAGAATATGCACTGGAGGGCTTTAGATTGGAAGCTCATTTAGGCAGCACTTAAAAATTCTTGCTATACGTCCGAAGTGGGAAATGTAGTCAAGATAGTTCTTGGTTTCAATAAATTTGTAGTCTACTATGGGGGGGGGGGACACGTTAAATAGGCAATTATTTTACTCTCTATAAAATACAACTTGAGAAATTTCTGTGGATTACTACACAGAGGAGGGAACTGCAAAACAAACCAACCCTGTAAGATTCATTTCTGATCAACATGGGTACCATGAACCATCTGTTTGGACACAGTCATGGTTTTGCTAAAAACTTTTTTGACTCATTTCTATTACAAAGGAATACTTTAAATCGACTTTTTTCTTAGTTTTGATCTAGTTTCAATAGTGTAGGGCAAACGTGAACAAAATACAGTGCCAATGCTATCATTTATTGAGTAGCTAATATTGTTTTCAATACATCGCCTCTAATACTTTAAGAACTATGCAATATTGGTCTTGTGCTGTTACAGATGAAAAATAAAACTCTGGACAAGTGTAAATCCAGCAATGCCAACGACGATGATTAGATACGGCTGAGACATGACTCACGTGTTCACAAGCCAGGTTTTCCAGGAACGACTTTGGAAATTTCTTGTAATTTTTAACTCCAAATCCTGGAAATCTACGTTTTAGACGCTAGGTAAAACCAAACATTTCCAGGATAAAACTCTGAATTGTATTACTATTAAGTTACCAAATTCTACTGCAACACACAAAAGAACCAAAAGAGAATCTACCGGTCTGTTGTCTCTTTACGGGTAACACAAGTATTCACAACTGGAAGCGGAATGTGTAGAAACTGATAATGAAAAGGCGCGTAAAACTCGTCACCTTATCAAGAGGACTTTGTGTACGCGCTTTTACTGTTTTAACAGCGATGAGCAGCCATCACGAAGCAAACACGGACTCGAATGTCTCACTTCCGCAGCGCCGCGGGCGCCGAAAATACGCGTCATTACGCAGGGCGGGACTTCTGCTCTGCGCATCCTGTTCGACGGAAGGCGAGAGGTCCCAATCCGTTGGGCTTTACTACCCCCTAACTGGCCCGAGCGGGGTAACTTCTATCTGTTTGTGTAGCTGGCTGTGCCCCTTCATCCCCGTCTTCCGTCAAGGACACAGAGCACACATGTGGGCTGAAGCGCTGAGCTGGGCCAGGTCCAGCTCCTCCCCACCGCCGGCCCTCCGCGGTCCTCTCTTCCGGGAGGCGGCGCCAGCGGCTGGCGGGGCGCCCGCTTGGGGTTCCCCTGAGTGACGCGCGGCCCCGGAGGCCGAGGTCGTCTTGCTTGGCACCGTTCCCGACTCGGAGCCTTCTCCCGGGCCTGGGCGGAGGCACCACGCCTCGCTCGGGAGTCGGGACCGCAGGCCCGGTGGAGCCCGTCGCCAGGGCGGCCCCGGCCCATGGGGGTCCAGGGGCTGTGGAAGCTGCTGGAGGGCGCGGGCCGGCAGGTCAGCCCCGAGACGCTGGAGGGGAAGATCCTGGCCGTGGGTATCCTCGCGCGCCCGGGCGTGGAGCTGGGAGGAGCGGCGGGCGCGTGGGCGCGCGCGGCGGGGGGCGGCGGGGGCCGAGCGCGGCCCCGACCTGAGCGCGGCTCTAACCGGCCTTTGGAGAAAATACTGCTATTTGTACGTGTTTGCAGCGTATAACGATTTCATTCATCTCGGGTGTCTGCTACGTGCATGTAACACATCGTGACACTTTTACCTTCCTTTCTGCCTCCCTTCGTGTCTAGGTGCGTTTGCAAAAGGTCTGTCTTCCTGCTGCTTACCTTTTATGAAGTCGTGCACTGTTTAAGCTCGCGTCCCCGATTTGCCTCGCGTAACCGTAGCGTCTCAAGGTGGACCTTTTTCCTGCAAATGATTCACCTTGGGCTTTGCGAGTTCAGTTCCGCTCCACGTAACGTTTCTTTCGGAGGAGGGTAATGTCGATAGGTGCTTGACTTTGTTTTTTTCTTTGAGGAGGTATAGTGACTTTCATCCTTTAATTGTAGTTCTTGAGTAAGTTTATGTGATAAGACGTTGAAAAGGTTTAAAAGGATACACGTGATTCTCCCAGCCCCTGTTGATCGGCTTCTTAAGGACCTTTGTTTGTGTACTTTTTGGTTGGTTTTGTGTCACTGGAATTAGTTTTTTTAAATTATGAAAACAATACTGTGTTTCAAGTTTGGACTTTTTCGTTATATAATGCACCACCCCTTCGGCTGGTTACACAAGTTTTCTGAATGGGGACCAGAAAGTTATGTAAATGCGTAACTGGTCTGAGCTTGTGTTGGGGAGTGAAATGCTGGCCTGTGTATCGGTTGGGCAAAGAGGCCATTGAATGCGGAAGCACGCTGTTAATTTTTAAAATGCTTTTCCCCCAAGAAATAATTTGCAAATATATTTGCAGTGTATTTAAAAGTTTTTATTCAGGATACCTTCAGCTGGGGAAAATGAAAAGTATTTAAAATCGCATAAGCTGTGTTGCCCTCTAGTGTGGTCCGGGTATCATTGCATTGTGAAGGTTTTTGACAACTGTTAGGCTAATTTTCAGTAACAGACCTTTAAAGCTTTAGCCAGGATTTAGGATCACTTTACATTGATGGTTCGATTAAGCATTAAGAATTTGTAAAACTACTGAGATGACACTTGAAATTGGGCATTCTAATGTTTTAGGGGGTCAAAGTAAGAAAGGGTAAACCGTGTAATTTAAAATACCTGACGTGTAGACGCTCAGAGAAGCCCATTTGGGATAGGGTTTCATTTTTATGAAGCTATTAGGTTTTTTTTGAAAGAATGAATGGTTTACCTAAAGGCTGTTAGAGATACTTTAGCTACAATGATAATATCCCTTATATAATATCTGATTACTTACAATTGATTTTTCTTTGTTTTGTCTTTATGGAAATTCAAGCATCTAAAATACGAATTTTATCTTTTTTGTAAGGAATATATCTACAATTGCAGCAGGTTCTAATTTATTTTCGGACCTCTCAAGTAAAGTATTTGAGCTGTGTGGATAGCTGAGTCTACACAATTAAATATTTTAAATATTTACTTTAAATATTAACTTTCATCTCTTAGACCTTAACGTTTGTGAAAGGAATCTAACTATAATAGGAAGATATTACAGTAAACTGTGCATACAAATGAGTATTTATTAAACTTTAGGTTCTTAACTACATGATTAAGGAAAATTTTTTTTAAAGTAGTATTGACTGTTTGGGTGGGTCTGAACTTCAATGTGATGTTGGGCCTTCCTGCAGATTTTAACTTTTTTTAGTCCTTCAAGAAATGTAAAATATTTGCTTTACATAAACAGTGAAATCAGAAAAGCCAGATTATATAAATATTTTCAGTTTTTTTGATTTGGTGTATTTCTGTAAGAATTTTAAACTGGAATTTCCAGATTTCTCTGGGACGTGGGACTCTCTGTGGTTACCTAAAAAGTAGAACCTTTACATTAGTCTCCATGATCGGGTATTTAAACATGTTTTATCATTAGTATTTTAAGCATATGGGGTGGTATGGTTTGTGTCTAGTTGTCCCCCCAAAGCCTCATGAAGTCTTGGGGCAGACTTGTAGACTTTGTGATTAATTCATGATCCAGTGCTGGGATTATGGGTGTGAGTGCTGCTGGGATTATGGGTGTGAGTGCTGTACCCAGCCTGGGGCCCATAGCCTGAATGCACTATAAGGGAGAGAGACTTGCTCTCTGTTGCCGTTGTTGCTGCTCTTTGCTGCCACCATGAAAGGTTGCTCTCTGCCCTGTCACTGTGCCTTGGAGCCAGCTGAGTATGAACTGAAACCTCCACTAACTGTGAGCTAAATAATTTTTCCTTCCTTCATTTTCAATGTTGGGTATTTGTCCCAGCTACAAGAGAAGAGTAACTGAGACATGGGGTTTAGTAATCTGTTTCAAAAACTCAGTAGCATTTTTTATTAGATAGCAAGGTTGAGAGCCACTGATCTGAAATTAGATTTTCTCTAGTATAAAGTG